AGTGGCGGACGGGCGTGCTCGGTGCCGCTGTGGGCCCTGAGCCCTCTCGAGCCGCTCTAGCTGGCATACAACGAAGAAGCACGATGACCATGGCCACGACCCTCGCAAGGGTCGGCCACGCAGCGCCGGCCTTCTGTGTAGATGTACAGTCAGCCCGCATAGTATGTATGGGCAACCTTCCTAAGGTTACCCTTGCATCCTTCCCCTTCGGCCCATCCTTGGCCGCTTTCGCTGGCCCACCTCGCTCGAAAAACGTCAACACGGGCCTCCAAGGCCCTTGCATCCTTACCGCGCATCCGTATGATACGGGTTGCATGTAAGGCAGGCGCCTTCTAAGAAGCACCTTCCCTCTAAGAAGCCTTCTCCCCTCCCCCTACTTCCTTGCGCGCGCCGCCAAATCGAGCGAAGAAGCACGACGACCATGACCATGACCCTCGAAAGGGTCCGCGGGGGGTCACCTCATGACATGGGGCCCAGGCCTGATGGGCGGGGGCTCCGCTCGCGCGATGCCTGGCCCGCCTTGGTGGCGTGGGCTCTGCGCTCGACGCCTCTGGAGTTCGCCCTCCGGCGGCCCCTGGGGAGGCCTCCGGAGCTGTGCAGCGCTGGTCGTCTTGGCCCTCCGGTAGCACGACGTCTGGAGCATTTTTAGAGTGCCCTGGGCCAGCAGGCCGGCATCATGTGGTGCAGCTAGGCCGCGCAGCGTGGTGGCCCCAGAAGGGGTTTGGCTGGGAAAACCACCGAGGCACCGATGTATTGCGGGTCGTGAACGAACGCGAGGATCATTTCCCGCTATCGCGAGATCCAATCGACGCCGATTTTGATCATTTTCCGTGCTTGCCGTCGCCGATTCGCAAGGATGATCCACGAATTGACGGTGACCAAGATGGACGGTGGTCAAGATCGACGTTGGCGTTTCCGCGTTCCGTCTTGGTCCTGGTCACCGTGTCCGTCCCCTTCAGCGCACTCGCTCGCAAGCCATGCTGCAGGGCACGTTGGCCCAGCCAGGAAGCTGTGCCGCAGAGGAGGAGCTCGAGGCTGCTCCCGAAGCATCTGCAGGGCTGACGTGACATCGGGGGCGCAGGGCCCGAGGCCTCGCGGGTCGGGCAGGTGGCGCACCTTTTCTCTTCTGCCCCGGGTCTCCCAAGCAGGGCCCGTGTCGGGGGATCGCGCCGCGCTCGCCTGCGGAGCGATCCCCCGACGCAGGCCCCGGGGCGATGCGGCGCGATCCGAGGCCCGATCGTCTCGATGCAGCGGCGAGCGGTGCGATCCTCGGGCCGCCTCTGCTCCGGCCCCGCCAGGGATGCCTCAGTCTGCAGTGGAGTGGGGTGGGAGGAGGCCGTGAGAAGGGAAGCGGGGCAGGGAAATGAGGGAGAGGGGAGGAACAGGTGGAGGCCGAAAGGGACAGACGATTGTCAGCCGCAGCAGCAGAAACATCAGCATGAGTCTTCGGGGCTAGCCTGTCAGTGCTACTATCGCTCTCTGGTTCTGCCAGTCCTATTTTTAACGCTCTGCCTATCGAAAACGCCTACGGCGAATCACCGCCGCCCCCTGCCTTTGAGGATACGCCTATGTGGCCAAACGGTCGGACAACGTTTGGCCAAGCTATTGGACTATGTGTTCCCCCATCCGCTGTAGAAACCCTTCGGGGAACACGCGGGGGAAGGAAGAAGAGGATGAGAAGAGGTCAGAAAAAGAAGGAAGAGGAGGAGGAGGAGGAGGAGCAGGAGGAGGAGGAGGAGGAGGAGGAGGAGGAGGAGGAGGATATGCTGGTGACGCCGGCGCGGTGGCCACGTCGGGGCCCATGATGCTCCGCAAGGTCCCCCAGAGCGATCGCGGCGGGGCACGGCTCCCGACCTAGAAGGAGGGCCTTTTTGAATGGTGTCGACGCTTCGGGCGGCGGTTCGACCCTTCCTTCGCAAGCAAGACGCCAACCGCCGCCAAAAACACAGGGAAAAACGCCCCCCGTACGCTGAAACCGTCGGTGAGACAGGATTCCCAGAAGCACAGCCTTCTTTTCGCCGATGCCGGGCAGTCTTCATCCGGGCCCCTGTCCTCCACCCCCCTTTCCCTGGAGCCGCCTCTCTCTTCATCCCGCGCCGTCCTCTGACCTCCTCCCTCCCTCCTCCGCCTCCTCTTCCTCCTCCCCGTCCTCCCTCCTCCCTTCCTTCTCCCCCCGCTCCTCCCCCCACTTCCCTCCTCCTCCTCCTCCTCCTCCTACTCCTCCTCCTCTTCCTCCTCCTCCTCCACCTCCTCCTCCTCCTCCGCCTTGGTCTTCCCCCTCGACTGCCTCGCCGCCCTCCCCGCGCAGAGGCGGGGCGCGCCGCGGGCGGCAAGCGCGCCGCGCCCGACGGCCCCACCCCGGAGCGGCCGGCGGCGGCGCGCCGCCGGCTGTGCTCGAAGACGGCGGACGGCGCTGCGGGCGGCACGGGGCGCCCCGAAGAGCAGAGAGCACGGCACGGGCACAGGGGGGGTCGTAGAGTTTCTATCTGGACGCCCGAAGTGGGTGCGGAAGGAGTGGGTACGATGCCCAACAGCAGTTCCTGTTCATTTTGAACAGGGCTCGCTGTCCGCGCCGCCGCGGCCTGCGTCCATTTGAGACAGGAGGCCGCCCGCCCAACAGCTGCCGCTGTTGGTTTGGAACAACATTTGTTGTTGGACATTGTACCCATTTTTTCCGTACCCATTTCGGGCGTCCAAAATTTAGGCCTCCTAGATTCGGGGGTGGACAGACCTCCTACCCTGACGCGTCGATTATAGCGAAGTGGCCGTTGTCGGTTCGCGAGAGGGCGTCGCGGCCGTCATTTTTGCGGGTCCAGGTCCGTCGGTTTCGGTCCCAGGCCGTTTTCGCTAAGGGGAGGTTTACTAATTGGAGGTTTGTCCACCGCCGAAGAAAACGGCATGGGCACAGTGGGGGTCGTAGAGTTTAGGCCTCCTAGATGGGGTCGGAGTAGATGGGGTCGGAGGATGGCGCCGCATCGCCGATGCACCGGCGATGCGGCTGGATGTGGAGCCCGATTTTCTCCATGCCTACGACGCCGATGAATCGCTGACGTCGCCGATGCATCGCCGGTGCATCACCGATGCATCACCGATGCTTCGCCGATGCATCGGCGCTGCTTTTCGATCTTCCGACCCCATCCGCTTTGGACCCCATCCGGGAGGCCTCTGCAGAGCGCCTGCCTCCGCAGGACCACCCAAATAAGGGACGTCACGGTGGTGAGGCGCCTCGCCGGGTAAGCTGACGAAGATGTGCAAAAGTCAATTGTTCGCTTGTGCCTCAGGTTTTGGCTTGACGCCGGGTGCGGTGTATCAGTTTCAGCTTGACCGAACAGTTAGGCCGTGCCCCTTGACGTCGGTTAGGGGAGTTCTGTAGACCTCACCCTCTGGCCCTACTCTCAAGAGCTGGCCAGAGGCCTGAGGTGGCCCAGGAATATTGACCACGCGCACAGGGCTTAGGCGAGCCGTCCTCCTCCTCCTCCTCCCTCCTCCCTCCTCCTCCTCCTCCTCCTCTTCCTCCTCCTCCTCTTCTTCCTCCTCCTCCTCCTTGGGTCGCCTACGGCCCTGGGGGAAACCGTGCAGCACAGGGGGGTCGGGGGAGGGACCCCTGTCTCTCAGAAGGCGCGGGCCTTGTCCGGCGCCTTTAAGAAGCAGCCTCCTTCTACGAGACCTGCCCCCTTTACCTTTACCCCTCTGCGCATGCCGCCACGACTGGGGGTCCAGCCGAGAGGGGGTGAGGGAGGGGCCCCTTCGCCGCCACGGCTGGGCGCGGCTCAGAAATCTGGGCAGCTTCGACCCCTGGAGGGGGTCCAGGGAGCGCTGTGGAGCGGATGCGGTCCCATGCGGGGTGCCGAAGCGCAGGAGCACGGCACGGGCACGCGTCAGGGGCCCTCTTCAGGGGCAGCGTGAGGGGGGGATAAGCAGGTGGCAAATCACGGCAGCCGTGTGTGTCCTCCTCGTTCCCTCTTGAGAGTGCAGACGCGTGCGCTAGCGTCTGGTAATCGACGAGGAAGCGCCAATGTAGCGTCGAAGCAGCGTCGACTAGCCTCGATCCACGTCGACTCCCAAGAGCCAGCAAGAGGCATGGGAGGATCCCATGGCTTGCCACCGAAGGAGCACGGTACGGGCACACGTCAGGGGCCCCTTTAGGGGCAGCGTCAAGAGGGGGGCATGGACTCCGGGGTGTTCGAGGCTCGAGGTTCGAGGTCCTTGGGCATTCTCGCTGGTTCTCGGCGGCTTCCCATCCAGCCTCGGGGTGCGTTGCAGCAGCCGCGCCTCGCCGCGGGCGTCCCGGGGGTGCCCAGATCGTCCTGAGCAGCCGGTAGGACACGACGACCGCTGGGGCCCCCAGTCGCCCACGGATTGCCGGAAGGGGCCCGGAAGCCCACCCTTCCAAAGGAACCTACGGTTTCGCTATCGGGGGCCTGTCGCCGATCTGTCGGCGACGTATCTCAGGAGAGGAAAACACACACAGACAGAATTACTCGTCGATCCCCAGGAAGATATGGGAAAGTATGGGGAGTGGGGGGGAAGACCCCCGGAAATATGGGAAATATGGGGAGTCCTGTTATATTTGCGTGTGTATTTCTTTGTGTGTCCCTGGGCCCCTTTCGTATCGCCGATGCCCGATGGAGGTTTTTCCCTCCCCGAGCTGGAGGCCCGCGTAGGGCGGCGCCGGGCGGCGAAGAGCGAGCAGGAGCACGGCGCGGGCACGCCGCCGCGGTGGAGGGTCGGGAGGTTGGGGCTCGTCCCTGCCTCCCGGAAGAGGTCCGAGTGCAGCCGGGCCGCGGTATGAGGCCGAGGTCGGTTGGGGGAGGTGCTGACGTGCTTCGTGTTTGTTGGGCGTTCTTGTGCATGCTGGGGGAGGGCACCCTCGAACGTCCCTCGGTGTGGGCCAGCGGAGGGTCTCCTGTGCTTGAAGGATGTTCGTCTGTCCGGGGTCCGACTGTAGATGGGGTCGGAGAGTCGCGCCGCATCGCCGATGCATCGCCGATAGCCTCGCCGATGCATCGGCGATGCATCGGCGATGCGGCTCGATGTGGATCCCGATTTTCTCCACGCCGACGTCGCCGATGCATCGGTGATGACGATGCACCGCGATCCTCCGACCCCATCTACTTCGACACCATCGGGGAGGCTTCTAGTTCGAGGTTGCAGGTTTTCGGACGCCTTCGTGGGCTCTCGGCGGTTTTTCCAGCCTCGGGATGCGATCCAGCGAAGCTCGTCGCCGACGGGATCTGCAGAAGCGAGCAAGGATTTGCCGAGGGTGGTGCTTCACGGATACTTGGCATCGTTCGGATTTGTTCTTTTTTTTGGCGAGGACCATCGAAAGGCATTTTGGATCTTCTTTCGAGGACAAACCCAGGACATCGACGAATGCATTGGGAATGGACGTCCGAGCAATGGCAAGGGAGCAGGAAGAGGATGAGGGGCAGGATGTGCACGGCCCGCTGACATTCCACTTCGATGTTCGCCTTCCTGTTTTGACGATCCGCAAGATGTTCTTGGCCCTCTCATCGCTCTGCGGTAACAGATGGCATCGCAGCCACCAGGATGCTGCTGATGATGATGATGATGATGATGATGATGATGATGATGATGATGATGATGATGCTGATTCTGATGCTGATGCTGCTGATGATGATGATGGTGCTGCTGCTGCTGATGATGCTGACGATGATGATGATGAGGAGGATGAGGATGATGAGTGTGGGGATGAGGATACGGATGAGGATGAGGATGATGCTGATGATGATGTTGATGCTGCTGATGCTGATGATGTCGATGGTGATGATGATGTTGTAGTTGTTGATTTTGATGCTGATACTGATGCTGAGGATGAGGGTGATGATGATGTTGATGTTTGTGGTGGTGATGATGATTATGCTGATGCTGATGCTGATGCTGATGCTGATGCTGATGATGGTGCTGGTGGTGGTGAGAAGTGGTGAGTGGAGGTGGTGGTGATGGTGATTATGATGATGATCACGATGATGGTGATGTTGATGCTGATGCTGATGAGCATGATGATGCTGATGATCATGATACTGATCATGATGATGGTGATGATGCTGGTGATGGTGATGGTAATGGTGACGGTGATCGGGATGGTGACGGTGATGCTGATGGTGATGGTGCTGACGACGACGATGATGATGCTGATGCTGATGCTGATGCTGCCGATGGTGGTGGTGGTGAGTGGTGGTGATGCTGACGCTGATGCCGATGCTGCTGCTGATGGTGATGATGGTGATGGTAATGGTGATTGGATGGTGATGATGGTGATGGTGATGATGATGCTGATGACGATGACGGTGATGATGATGATGATGATGATGATGATGCTGATGATGATGATGATGATGATGCTGATGCTGATGATAATGATGCTGTTATTGTTGTTGTTGATGCTGTCGATGTTGATGCTGGTGATGAGGATGATGTTGATGATGCTGATGCTGATGTTGGTGGTTGTGGTAATGACGATGCTGCTGCTCATGCTGATGCTGCTGCTGATGGTGGGGCTGGTGGTGGTGAGTGGTGGTGCTGGTGGTGAGGATGATGTTGACGACGTTGATGCTGCTGATGATGCTGATGATGATTATGATGGTCAGTATGATGATGATCACGATGATGGTGATGTTGATGCTGAGGGCGATGATGATGATGGTGATCGTGATTGTGATTGTGATGGTTATGGCGATGGTGATGTTGATCATGATGATGACGACGATGACGACGACGATGCTGATGGTGGTGGTGGTGATGCTGATGATGATACTGGTGATGGTGATGATGATGATGATGATGATGATGATCATGATGATGGTGATGATGATGCTGACGATTAGGCTGATGGTGATGGTGATGATGATGATGATGACGATGATACTAAGGAGGAGGAGGTGATGATGATGACGACGTCGACGATGATGCTGATGCTGACGGTGGGGGTGGTGAGTGGGTGTGATGCTGATGCTGATGCTGATGCTGCTTCTGTTGCTGCTGATGATGCTGGTGATGATGCTGATGAGGATGATGATGATGACGATGATGGCGATGCTGATGATGATAATGCTGATGAGGATGATGGCGCTGATGATGATGATGATGATACTGATATTGTTTTTGATTATGATGTTGACGTTGATGCTGAAGATGATGATGATGATGCTGGTGACGAGGTTGGTGATTGTGATGCTGATGATGCTGCTGCTGATGCTGCTGCTGATGATGATGCTGATGGTGGTGCTGGTGGTGGTGAGTGGTGGTGGTGGTGGTGATGATGATGCTGACGATGTTGATGCTGCTGCTGATGTTGCTGCTGATGGTGATTATGATGATGATAATTATGACGGTGATGGTGATGCTGAAGGCGATGGTGATGATGATGGTGATGGGTATGGTGATGGTGATGTTCATGATCATGATGATGACGACGATAATGACGATGATGCTGATGCTGATACTGATGGTGGTCGTGGTGGTGGTGGTGAGTTGTCGTGATGCAGATGCTGATGCTGATACTGATGCTGATGATACTTCTGATGCTAAAGCTAATTATGATGCTGATGCTGATGCTGATGCTGCTGATGATGATGATGCTTCTGATGATGATTATGCTGATGGAGATGATGATGATGATGATGATGATGATGATGATGCTGGTGATGCAGATGATGATGCTGATGCTGATGATGGTGATGATGATGCTGCTGCTGATGATGATCATGGTGATGATGATGATGATGATGATGATGATGATGATGATGATGATGTTGATGATGATGATGATGATGATGATGATGATGATGATGATGATGATGATGATGATGATGATGATGATGATGATGATGATGATGATGATGATGATGATGATGATGATGATGATGATGATGATGATGAAGAGGATGCTGATGATGCTGATGATGCAGATGATGATCAGGATGAGGAAGAGGATGAGGGAGGAGGAGGAGGAGGAGGAGGAGGAGGAGGAGGAGGAGGAGGAGGTGGAGGGGTAGGAGGAGGAGGAGGAGGAGGAGGAACGTCAGGGGCTACCCTGCGCTCCCCCCCCGCCCAGCACCGTCCGCCCTTCCCCCCCCGTCCCCCCCCCCCCCGCCCGCCCCCCCGTGCCCGCCTGTCGAGGCAAGACGCTGTCGCCAGCGGCCACGCTGGCCCTCCAGGCGGCGGGGTCATGGGGGGTGGCGCGGGCGAAGGCAGGGGGTGTCTAGGGTCATGATGTTTTGACCCGCTTTATCCTTGACCACCAGATAGAATTGCGAGCACCAAGAAAGCACCGAAGCTGGAGGGTTTTCACGTGTCGTGCCCTGAGAGGCGATGCTCGTTTGACACTGTTTCGATACTTGTCTGGGTGCTCGAAATCATTTTTGGGATGTGGTCCTTCAGTACGATGGGAACGGCATAAGTCCAGTAAGGGCTCCACCCAGAGATCGGACGCTTCGAAAACATTGGAGCGGCGTGATCTGTGCTTTCGTCGTCCTCCGGGGGTGCCCTCGCCGGGCCTCGGGACCGTTGAATAACGATTCAGGACGACAAGCTGGCCCCAGGGAGGTGGTCAGCACCGACCTCCGGGGCCCACGCATCGAAAAATCGGAGCGGCCCGATGTCTGGGCAGAGCTCCAGCGCCCCGAGCAGAAGAGCCGAGCGGAGCCTGCTCGCGGCTGTTTCCCTCCAGTGGGCGGCCTGGTTCCCGGGGGACCGCGGGAGCAATGCCCGGGACTCGGGGCGTGCCGCAGTCGGGAGCCGTGAGACGGGGGGTCAAGGCAAATGGATGGGGGTCTGCCAGAGCTCCGGATTTTGCAGGACCCTGCAGAGCCAGGGGTGCACCGACCCGGGCTTGCGTGCAGGATCTTGCAGGATCCTGCGCAGCCCGACTGACCCGGGTTTGCATTGATCTATTGATCCAGGCCATTTCGTCCCCGATCAGTTCGAATCGCGAAAGCATCGCTCGGGCGTGTGCATTGACACAGGTTAACTAGCGCGCAGGATCCTGCAGGACCTGGCAGGTTCTTGCAAAGCCCGACTGACCCGGGTTTGGATTGACACAGGTCAGTAGATCCCCGACACAAAAACATTGGGGCGTAAGCCGTATGACAGCATAACGGCGAACCACCGCCGCCCCCTGCCTTTTGGAATCGCCCATATGGCCAAGCGTTGTGGCAATATCTCTGCCAAGCTATCGGGCCATGTGTTCCCCCAGCCGTTGTACAAACTCTTCGGAGAACACTTGGGGGAGCGTGGAAGATCAGGAGGAGGAGGAGGAGGAGGAGGAGGACGAGGAGGAGGAGGAGGAGGAGGAGGAGGAGGAGGAGGAGGATGAGGAGGGGGCATCTTGGGAGCCTCTGAGGGCACTCTTGGGGCCTCCTGGGAGCCTGGGAGCCTTTGGGGGGCTTAGGGTCCTCGTGGGGACCATTGGCAGCTTCTCGGGGGTCTCTTTGGGTGTCTTAGGGCAGTCCTGGCCCATCTGATACCATCGGAAGCCGTCTTGGGGGCCTCTCTGGGCCGACTTGGGGCCCTTTTGGGGTGCTCCAGGGCCGACTTGGAGGCCATCTTGAGCGTCTTCGAGACCGCTTGGGCCGTCTTGGGGCCTTCCTTCGGCCGTCTTCGGGGCCTCTTGTGCCGTTCTGTTGGGGCGATCTTTAGGGGCTCTTGGGCCGTCTGGGGCCGTCGGAATATCGAAAAGAAGCAAATGCGAAAATCCTTCACACACCTAGGAAAATCAAAGATTTTGGCCTCTTCGGGCCTTCCTGGAGGACCTTTTTGGAGGCCGCTTGGCCCGTCTTGGAGGCCTTTTTGGGCGCCTCTTGGACCGTCTTAGGCCATCTTCGAGCCATCTTGGGCCGTCTTGATGGCTTCCTGGCCCGTCGGACGCCGCCGGAAGCCGTCTTGCCTTCCTTGGCCGCCTTGGGGCCGGCGCCTCCGAGGCAGAAAGGTGACGTCCGATGTGATGGGTGCTGGGGCCCGGGAAAGGCTCAAGATGCCGCCGATCGCCGCTCGCAGTGGCCTGCCCGTACTCGGACACCATCTGGGAGCCCTCTAGACAAGCCTGGATCCAGAGATCCGGTGCCTTGATTTTTGAATGCGCAGCCCACGGAAGTCTCGATTCATGCTCTGGGACCGGTCTCTCATTCCGCAATCAGTGCTTGCACCGAAGGGGTCCTAGCGGAAGTTGAAAGATTTGGCGGAAGTTCCCCGCCGATTTTGGTAGCAGGCTGGGTTCCGGGGCTCTTGCTTCCGGGTTCCCGGGTTCCCGGTTATTGGTTCCAGGCCGATTTCGGTGGGTTCTGAGTTCCCGGGCTCTGGGGGTTCTGGTAAATCTTCCTAGCGAAAACCATCCACTGATTGGGGTTTTTCTCTGGTGTAATCCTGAGTAGGTTTTTGAAGGTCCCATGGCCCAGTGAGGGCCTTCAGAGGCCGAAAATCCCACCCGCCCTTTGGAGCGTAGGCGGTCCAGGGAGCTTCCTCTTCCAACCCCCTTCCTCTTCCCCTTCGGGGAGGGGTTTGCCCTTCCCCCTCCCCCGTCCCCTGGATCTGGACGGGGGGTTCCGCGGGTAGTTGGAGCGTCCAAAACGGCCTCGGCGAGGGCCAAAATCATTGGTTTTACTGAGGTTCTGGTCCCATTTTGGCCTCCTGGAGGGGGGGGGCTAATGAAGGACCCCCCCTTATTTGATCGATCTCCTCCGAGATGGCCCCAAGAGTCCCAAGGGTGCCCCGAGAGGGCCCCAAGAGGTGGCCAGAAGGCCCAAGAGGCCCCCAGGGTGCCCCCAAGAGGCTCCCAAGAGACCCCCACGAGGCCCCCACGAGGCCCCCCAGAGGCACCCAAGAAGCTCCGAGAGGCCTCGGCGAGAATGCCAGAATCACTGATTTTACTAAGGCTTTGGCGACATTTTGTCCTCCTGGGGGGGGGGCACTGATTAAGATGACTCCCAGAGCGGAGAGCCCAAGATGACCTTCAAGATGGCTCAAGGTATCCCAAGATGTCTCAAGATGGCTTCCACGATGCTCCAAGAGGCCCCACGACCGTTCCAAGACGGCTCCCAGTGGCCAAAGAGCTCCCCCAGGATGCCCCAAAGACGCCAACATCCTTCCAAGACCTTAGGGACATCAATGTTTTTGGCTTCCTCGCCTTTTCGCTTCCGAATGACCATCCGAGGCCTCAAGATGGCTCCAAGAGAGGCTCGAGAGAGCCCCCAGACGGCCCCAAGAGCGCCCAAGAGCGCTCCAAGAGCGCCCCAAAAACGCCCCAAGAGGCGACTTTTTGGGCCCCCGAGGGGCAACGCTAATTAATGCTCCCCTCGTGTTTGATCGATGTCCTCCAAGATGGCCCCAAAAGCGCTCCCAAGGCTCCCAAGAGCGCTTCAAGAGGGCCTCAAGAGGCGCCCAGGAGGCCCCAGGAGGCCCCAACAGGCGCCCAAGAGGCCTCCAAGAGGCTCCCAAGAGACCCCCAAGAGGCCCCAAGAAGCTCTCCGAGGCACCCAAGACGCTCTAAGAGGCGTCCAGGATCGCCAAGACGCCCCCAAGAGGCTCCAAGAGTCCTCCACTGGGGGACCCTTCCTCTGTGTGCTGCCCACTTCCCTGATCGAGGCAATTCCTCTGGCATCGTTTGTGGATGGGCTGGTGGGGATACTTTTTTGTTGGTCGCGAGCGCAAGCGGTACAGCCGCGCGGCGTCAGAACGAATGCAACGACCTACATTACGCACTAAGCGCAAAGGAACGTCTCTTGGGGATACGTGGAGCATCCAGAATCCTTGACGCTTCGTGTATCCCCACCAGCTCGAGCACCCTGGGTACATCTTTGGCATTGAGTGTGGTCCATCCTGCTCGGTTGCATTGCTATGTATTCACAGGTCTTGCTATGCTATGCATGTACCACGGTGCACATGATTGCTCATGGGACGCAGGTTTACCTACCTTTGAGCGGTCTTTACTTGATCTGTCGGTGTGCGACGCTTCGGCTGGCGCCTCTTCAGATTCGCGCCTTTCTGGCTGCGCGTGTCAGGTTTGGCTAGTTTGGTGCTTCTTGGGTGTCCCTGGGTCACCTTGCAGCTCTACCCTGGGTGCAGCTCTCCCTGGGGTCTGCCTCACCCTCGCCGCAGTTGCTGCTTGCTGCATCCGGCGCCGCCGCGTCCGCCTAGTCGCGCGCGTTAGTCGTCGGTAATTTGTATTGCCACCTGCCCTTCGGCCAATTTGTAGCGGCCGCAGCCCGACCGTTACCCGCCGCCGCCGGCGCATCCGCCTGCGGCTGTAAAAAAAAAGTATCCCCACCAGGTGCGCTTCTCTTTCGGTTTTATCTGACGGCGCGCGGCTGACCGCGTCGCTCGCGAGGAAAAAAGGTATCCCCACCAGCGTCTTCAGGCACACTCGGAGGCTTTCTTGAGGTCTCTTGGAGGCCATGTTGAGCCATGTTGGTTTAGAGGGTCGGAGGATATTTTGAGTCATGCTCAGCTATCTTGGGCCGTCTTGTGGCTGTCTAGCTGCCTCTTGGAGGTCTGTCGGAGGCTATCCTGGTCCATGCTCGACTTGGGACCCCGTCTTGGGGAGGAGGAGGAGGAGGAAGAGGAGGAGGCGGAGGAGGAGGACGAGGAGGAGGAGAAGAGGAGGAGGAAGAGGAGGAGGAGGAGGAGGAGGGGAAAGAAGAGGAAGAGGATGAGGAGGAGGCGTATGAGGAGGAGGAGGAGGAAGAAGACAAGGCTGATGATGATGATGATGATGTGGATGATGATGATGCTGATGATGATGATGATGATGGTGGTGATGATGATGACGATGCTGATGCTGCTGCTGATGATGATTCTGATGCTGATGCTGCTGATGATGACGATGATGATGAGATGCTGATGATGATGATGATGCTGACGATGATGGTGATGCTGATGATGCTGATGTTGATGATGACGATGCTGATGCTGCTGATGATGATGCTGATGATGGTGCTGCTGGTGGTGGCGATGATGCTGATGATGCTGATGATGCTGATGATGCTAATTATGATGATGATGCTGATGCTCATGATGCTGATGCTGATGCTGATGATGATGCAGACGATGATGATGATGATGACGATGATGATGATGCTGATGATGATGATGATGATGGTGGTGGTGGTGGTGGTGATGATGATGATGATGATGATGATGATGATGCTGCTGGTGATGATGATGATGACGATGATGATGATGCTGATGATGATGATGACGACGACGATGATGATGCTGATGATGATGCTGCTGATGCTGATGCTGATGCTGCTGATGCTGCTGCTGCTGCTGCTGATGATGATGATGATGATGATCATGATTATGCTGAATCTGATTATGATGATGCTGACGATGGTGATGATGATGAGGAGGAGGAGGAGGACGAGGAGGAGGAGGAGGACGAGGAATGCGGCACGAGGGAAGAGGCAGGAATGGAGGAGGGAAGGAACGGGCGATGATGAGCAGGATGAGAAGTCGGGCTTTGGAGGTGTGTTGTCGTGAGAGGCGCTTGAAGGACGACGATGACCATCTTAGGGGCTCTCTAAGGGCCCCGTGGGGCCTCTGGGGGCACTCTTGGGGCCCTTTTTTGGGAAACATTTTGGGGGTTCGGGGCCCTCGTGGGGCTCCTTGAGGGGGTCTGGGAGGCCTCGTGGGCCCCATGGTTCAAAAAGAGGGTGGGTCGTCAATTCTGGTCGCCCCCTCGGAGGCTCAAGAAGGGTGCCTCGGGGCACTCTTGGGGCGCTCGTGGAGCGCTCTCGGGCTCTTGGGGCCCTATTAGGGCCCTCTTAGGCCTCCTCGGGGCTCTCTGAGGCCGTCTTGGGGGCCCATCGGTCGCGAAACGACGAGAAGGCAACACACACACATTGGTTGTCCTTCGGTTTTGAGGGTGCTTGGGAAGGCTCCAAGGGTACTGGAATCTGTCGTATTGGGCAGTCTGAGACGCTCTCACACCGCCGTCACCCCCTCCAATGCCCAGGGTATCGGGTAGGGGGAGGGGTCAAGCTACCCGCCCGCCCGCAAGCCGCCTAGCTCACTCCCACCCGCCCTCCCTACACATAAGTAACACCCGAGCCTCAGCATGTTCAGCGGTCGTCTTTGGATGGGCAGCTACTGGGAACCAAAGCCGACCCCAGGTGCGCGATGTTTGGGCGAGGTGCGCCACGCGTGCCAGGGGCGCCACGCGCGCCAGGCACCCCTGGGGCCCGAGCGTGCCAGGCACGCCTGATGCGCCAGATGCGCTACGTGCTCCGGGTGCGCCAGGTGTGCCGCACACTCCAGCCGCGCCAGGTGCGCCGCGTTCGGGGCACGTGCAGAGTGAAAGCACACATCGGGAAACATGTCGGCCCCCACCATCCTTGTCGAAAACCGATGCCCATCACTGTGTCTGGTGGGCCTGCGCACAGCAGGCCGCGCGCCACCACTCCCGCCGTCCCTGCCAAAAACCACTTGACAGTGATCGCGGGATGGCCGCGCATGATCCAGATTTAGCCACGAGGTGCATGTTATATGGTGTTTTGTCAGGGGTGGTAGCCCTGCGCGCAGCAGGGAATATGCTGACACCCCCGCCGTCCTCGCCAAAAATAATACAAAGTGCTCGCGGGCCTCACGAACATGGCTCAAGACTTTTCCCCCAAGTGTACTTTGCATTGTTTTTTGGCAAGGTTGGTGGGGGGGGGTCGCATCGGGATGGCCGCGCATGCTCCAAATGTGGAGGCAGAGTGCGGTTTGCCTTGTTTTTGACAGGGATGGTGGGGGGCGGGTCGGCATGGTGTCGGTGCCTGGTTGCCCCCCGGACGCTTGGGGGAGAGGGTGTATATTAATAAGGAACAGTGATAGCCCCGTTCCCCGAGCAGGGGAAGGAGGGTTGTGGGAAGACAGAAGACAAGAGTTTGTTCAGCCACCTACGCGCAGAGGGCTGGTGGGACTAGTCTTTTGACGGTTCCAGGGCCCGGAGAGGGCCTCCAAAGGCATAACATTATTAACAATTTTCGCTCTGAATTGTTGAGTACGTTTGAGGTCTGGATTTTTTTGGATAGGCCTCCCAGATGGGGTCCGAGCAGGTGGGGTCAGAGGATCGCGCCGCATCGCCGATGCATCGGCGATGCGGCTCGACGTGGAGCCCCAGTTTCTCCACGCCGACGTCGCCGATGCGTCGCTGGTGCGTCGCGATGCATCGCCGACGCATCGGTGACACATCGTCGATGCGGCGCGATCTTTCGACCCGACCTACTCGGACTTCATTCAGGAGGCCTCTAGCTGGCGTTAAGTCGGGCATGTCCCTCTACAAGAGAGATATTCAGAAATAGAAGAAAAATAGTCTGGGGATGACTTCTCTACAGTTATTGTTTTGTATTGTTTTGACTACTTCCCGTTCTCCTTCCAAACTTCGCCTGTACAGTCAACCCGCGCAGTAAGGATGAGCAAGCTTCCCAAGGTTGCCCTTGCACCCTTGCCCCTTCGGCCCATGCCTGGCAACTTTCGCCGGCCAGCCCCGCTCCAAAAGTGTCGACATGGGCCTCCCAAGGCCTCCTTGCGCGCATCCTTCTTATGTGCGTCGACTGTAGGAGCACATGCCCGACCTGAAGCTGGCGGCCGCGGGCGGGCGGGCTGGCGGCGGCGGCCCTCCCGACCCCACGAGGGCCCCTGCACGGCACCTCCGCCGGCGGGCGCGGCGGCGGCGGGGCCGCCTCCCGCCGCGCCGACGCCGGCGCTGCCGCCCGGCGCCGTCGTGCCGCTGCCGCCAATGGTGCCGGCGGGCCGGAAGGCGCCGAGGGCGCCCGCTGCTGCCGCTCTCGGGAGGGATCTTCGAGGGGTTCGGCTCAGCAGGGCGTTGTCAAGCAGTGGCGAAGCGTCCTGGCGTGCCTGTAGTCCTACCAAACAATGTTCTGAGAGCCTTTTGTGGTTCCCACGAAGTGTTCTTAGAACAGTTCTGACTGGGATTGTCTTGTTTTAACACATCGGGTTAACGTTCTAAGAACATTGTTTTTGTTGTCAGAACATTTTGGGGTTCTAAGAACATTTCGTGGTAGGACTATAGGAATGCCGGGACGGTCGGTCCCTGCTCAACTCGGGAGGAATCTTCGAGGGGTTCGGCTTAGCAAGGCATTGGAGCCCTGCGTGTCCTCGCAGTTCCGTTTTTTACGGTGCATCGGCGTGCGCCAGTGTCGATGAGCGTCGTCTTGCGTCGGTCAGGGCCGACTTTTAGCGTCGACCAGCGTCGATTCGCAAGAGCCAACAGGATGGTATGATACGCTCCCGTGAGTTGCCGCAGAAGGGGGGATCGAGCTTCGAGGGGGTGGGGCCCTGAGATCCTGGCGTCCCATTGATATTGTTTTCGCAGCGGGCGATTTTGCCTTGTTTTGGGCCAGAACCTTCTTGAACCATGCAGCAGAATGATGGGTCCAGGGCTCCTGTCGAGCGAGTTTTTATCCGATGCTGCAGTTTGATCTCAGGCTGGCTGTTTTGCACGTTTTTGGCAGGGAGGCTCCGATGGCGGCGATGCTGTCGATTTTCGGAGGGGTGGAGCTGCCCCCCGCGCGTTACGAAAGATCACGACGGGAGGCTTTTCGCTACCTTTGGCTTCCAGGGGCCCTTCCCCAGGGCCGTCAAAAACGGCTGAGCAGGAAAACGGGTCCCCTGGAAGGGGGGAGGTCCCCTTTCCGAGACAATCATGGAGTCGGGGATTTGGGTTCGGGGAGTGTCCAGGTCGACTAGACATAAGAGTGACCTTTCGCAGGAGCGACCTTGAAGCGGGCCCAGTGGGGCCCCCCGATCGCCGAACGCGAAGCGGCAGTGGCGTCTTGCGCGCTTGTGTCTGGCCCCCTCGCGCCTCCAAAAAAGCCGCGCACCGAAGGACGCTCTCACAGTCAACGCGCATAGCGCGCGCCTTCATCTAGGGTACCTTTGTGTCCTTGCCTCTGCGATCCGTCCTTTGCCGTTCTCAATGGTCGCCCGCCGCCCAAAAAGCTTCCTTTTCGGACTCCAAGGGTCTTGCGTCCTCACCACCCGTCCTCAATACACGTTTTGACGGTACCCAAGGGTCACTCTGGCGTGTACAGGTGGAAACACAAGCCAAGAAACACCCTGCTTGCCTCCAGGGTGCCCTGGGTTTCTTGGGTTTCGATGGTTCTGCTGTGGAAAACGTGACGCTCCCACACCAGAAATCAATGGACGTCCTGTGGTCGAGCTCCTGCTGTAGCCGACCTGGTGTTTGCACGTTGTTGCATCTTCCCGGAGCTTCAGGAGACCTCCCGCGGCCATGGCCAGAGGCGCCTCGGGTCTAGGCCTCCTAGATGGGGTGGGAGCACATGGGGTCGGAGGATCGCGCCGCATCGCCGACGCATCGCCGATGCATCGGCGATGCGGCTCGATGTGGAGCCCGCTTTCCTCCACGCTGGCGTCGCCGATGCATCGCCGACGTCGCCGATGTTTGTCGCCGACGCATCGGCGATGCACTGCCGATGCATCGGCGACGCGGCGCGATCCTCCGCCCCCGTCCACTCGGACCCCATCATGGGAGGCCTCTACCGGGGGTCCCCCCGGGGGGCCCACCTCGGACCCCCCCCCCCCGGGGCCCAGGCGCCTCCCCGCGTCGTGGCGGGCAGCACGGCGGGAGGCTCTCGGCAGGGCTGCGGCCTCCGTGGGCGCCCTCTCGCCAGGCCCCCCGGATGGGGCCGTCGGGGAGCGGCTCGGACTGCGGTGCGGTCGGCACAGAAGCTCCGAGGAGGGCCGGTTGAGACGCTGCAGGTAGTTGGCCGTCCGGGGTGGCCCCCTCGTCGCCACGGCTGGGCGCAGCGCGGCAATCTGGTTTTCCTCTGGACGCCGGGAGGGGTCTGAGGACCGAGTTTGAACTCCCAGTGTCTCGAGTCATCTTTTGTTTATCCACTGTTTTGCCGATCGGCGCGGGTCCTCGCACCCCCCCGCTCCCCCCCCTCATTCGGCGGCGAGCCTGGGGGGGAAATGAGAAGGGGCGGGCCTTCTCAGCAGGCTCGGAAGTCCCCGGGCCTTCTGAGAAGTTTTCTAAGCCTTCCGCGAAGACACAGAAAACTTCTCAGAAGGCGCGAGGGCTTCTGAGAAGTCCCGCCGCCTTCTGAGAAGGCCTTCTCCTTCTCGATCCCCCCCTCGCTCGCCGCCAACTCATGGAGTAGATCTTGGCTGTTATGGGCGCCTGTTTCGAGCGGGTGCAGCCTCCCCCAGAGGCCGCACTCTTGCAAGCAGTCGCACTAAGCAGAGGTCTGGGGCCAGACCCCCCCCCCTCCCCCCCCTTTCCGCCCAATGTCGAGACGCCGAATAACAAAAACGCTCACATGGCAAACTTTGACCGTAGTGCCGACGCCGCCGATGGTATCCCGGTCTTCCAACGTCTTGAAAGAGTCCAGGCGGTTGGGCTGGGATGCGCATCCTGAGCCCTGGCTTCTGAAGGTTGGTCCGGGCCCTTTTGAGCCCACGCCGTCGTGTGACCAATACGAGGCGGCCTCGTAATGATACCTTGGAGCTTTCTGTCCTCTCTCGCTTCGCTGTGGTGGGCAACGTCCACGCACGCGTTCGCCAAGCTTTTCTCGTCCACGTCTGGACTTCGTCGTCTGGCTCTGGAGCCTGTTTCCGGGAAGCTCCCCTGGAGCGCTTGCATTCCACACCGCCGTTGCCGTTGCCCTCGCCGTCGTCGCCGACGTTGCCGCCGGGGCCCTCGTCGTTGCCCTCGTCGTCCCCGTCGTCTTCGCAGCCTGCGTCGTCGCTCTCGCCGCCGCCGACGCCGCCGCCTCCGCCACAGCGGCCGCCCTCGTCGCGCCGTCGTCCTCGCGGTCTGCGCCGTCGCCCTCGTCGACGTGGCCGTCGCCTCCGCTGCCGCCGACGGCCTCCCCTCCGCGAGCGTGGATCGGTGGCTCAAGGATGGGGTCCTGAGGGATGGGGTCCTGAGGGACGAGGAGCCTCAAACAGTGTAGACCCACCCTCGGGTCCCTTTCCGCCCTCAGGGCCCCATCCCTCAGGACCCCATCCTTGAGCCACCGAGTGGAGGCGAAGGTCGCCCAGGAGCTCCTGAGCCAGGCCGCGTGCCTGGGTGCGCACGCGGCCGCCGGCGCCTGAGCGCGGCGGGCATGCTGAGTAAAGTGCACTCCGGGGGGGGGGCGCCGGGAGGCTCGCCGTGCGGGAGGCGGCTCCATGCAAGTTTCGGTGGCAGTCTTCGGGCTCCCGGGGAGGCTCCACAGGCATCGGGACCGTCCCAGGTCGGCTCGTGGTGGGGGAGCTGGTCTTTGGGAGCGCGTTGGGGCCCAGGACCCGTTTCCCGCAGGACCCGTTTCCTGCATGTCACGGAGGCGTCGACCTGACCTTTCCAGACCCCTCTGGGTCCCTGAACGCTTTCGGCTGAATCCAGCACAATTGTGCCTAACCTGTTTTCATAGCGTCTCTATATTTATAGAGGTATATATACTATATGTGTGTATATGGGCGTCCCATCTTCACAAATGCAAGCCAGAGAGGTTCACACAGAAGTTTATGACTGTGTTGATGCAGTGCTGCTCGAGGGCGTCTGCAATGGAAAACAACAAGAACACTGCACTTCAAAGGGATCATGAAACATACCAATCACACAAGGAGCTCCTCTTACAACCAGAAACAATAAGAACAGCTTAACAATGACAGCAATGAGTAACCATTGCAATGAAAGCCAACGAGAAACGCCACACTCAAAGAAAACACAATTAGCCTGCCCACTCGAGCCTTCGGTGGCGCATCCTCTGCGGCCACGAGACGTGTGAGGGGGTGTACCGAATTGGGTGCGGTGGTGCCATGCGAACCCTCGAGCTGGAGCCTTCGGCAGAACTCCCTATGGGGTGCGCCGGAATGACGGTGGAACTTCATGCGAACCCTGCCGCTGGGGCTTTCGGTGGAGCTCCCTATGGGGCCACGAACCGTGTGAGGGGTACGCCGAAATGAGGGTGGACTTGCATGCGAACCCTGCCACTGAGGCATTCGGTGGAACTGCCTACGGGGCCACGAACCGTGTGAGGGGTGCGCCGACATGAATGTGGAACTGCGTGCGAACCCTGCATCTGGGGCCTTCGGTGGAGCTCCCTATGTGGCCACGAACCGTGTGAGAGGGGTACCGAAATGAGGGCGGAATTGCGTGCGAACCCTGCCTCTGAGGTATTCGGTGGAGCTCCCTATATGGCCACGATGCGTGTGAGGGGTGCGCCGACATGAATGTGGAACTGCATGCGAACCCTGCCTTTGGGGCCTTCGGTGGAGCCCCCTATGGGGCAGCGAACCGTGTGAGGGGTGCGCCGAAACGAGGGTGGAACTGCATGCGAACGTTGCCACTGGGGCCTACGGAGGAGCTCCCTCTGGGGCCACGAACCGTGTGAGGGGTGCGCCGACGTGAGGGTGGAACTGCATGCGAAACTTGCCACTGGGGCCTTCGGTGGAGCTCTCTATGGGGCCACGAACCATGTGAGGGGTGCGCCGAGATGAAAGTGGAACTGCATGCGAACCCTGACTTTGGGGCCCTCGACGGAGCTCCCTATAGGGCCACGAACCGTGTGAGGGGTACGCCGAAATGAGGGTGGACTTGCATGCGAACCCTGCCTCGGAGGCATTCGGTGGAGCTCCCTATGGGGCCACGAACCGTGTGAGGGGTGCGCCGACATGAGGGTGGAACTGCATGCGAACCCTGCCTTTGGGGCCTTCGTTGGAGCCCCGGCAGCGAACCTTGTGAAGGGTGCGCCGAAATGAGGGTGGAACTGCATGCGAAGCGTGCCGCTGAGTCTCTAGGCGGAGCTCCCTATGGGGCCACGATGCGTGTGAGGGGTATGCCAAAATGGGGCGGTGCCGCCATGCGGACTGCGCGGGAGGAGGGGGAGGCAGCGGGAGGAGGAGTGATGCGGGGCGCTGTCTTCAAAACGAGGACCCAGCACCACAGGGTGGTTGGGAATCATATCGTATCACATTTAATTTAATTAAGGATGTCCCGTGTTATTTGATCTGCCTTCCCCCATACAATTAACATGAACAAGACAATTTACACGTAACAACAACACGATTACGTCTTGGGACCACCATCTCTGCGAGACCCCTTACACTTATGAAAACACCACACCAACATTCGCATAATCCGTGTGCGCCCTCTTAAATTAGTTAAGCAAAAAACAGGCGTTGTCGGCATTCACGTTTCCTTCCCGGTCTCTTTGCCAATTCCCTTGCACTTAAGATCAACACGACAATTCACAATTGAAGACAAGACGATCATGCACAAGTGAAAACAGATTGGGCAGTTTACGTTTGAAACAAAGAGCACGTCTTGGCACCACCATCCTTGTGAGGCCTGAAAAAGAAACAGACAGCAAACGCACATACCCAGACCCCCATCAAGACTCCTGAATACTATATAAAAGGCTTTCGGCATGTGTGCTCCCTTCTCGATCTTCTGCTTATTACAAGTACAACTAAAATCAACAATAACATTACACTTGAGAAGTTTCTTGCGACCACCATCCTCGTGAGACCCCGTAAAAACCGGTCATAGACAAACGCAACTGGTAATGATCCCAGTGGGTCCCCTAGAGTTCCCTGCGAGCCATAACATCAGAGGTTCTCGGCAGTCGCGCTTCCTCTCCGATCTCCTTGCCGATTCCCTTGCAAGTGAAATCAATCAAGCACACCATTCAATCAGAAACATACGAAACTTACAAGCCAAACCAATCAGAACAGCTACACCTCAAAACAATAAGGACACTTATTGGGACCACCAGCCCTGAAATACCCTCGTGAAGCAGTAAAACACCCAAATACTCAGAGCCTGTGGAAGACCCCTTAAAGCAGTAAGCATCAACGGTCGTCGGGATCCGCGTGCTTATTATTTGCTTACGATTTACATTCAAATACATGTTGAAAACGCCTTGAGACCACCATCCCTGTGAGACCCTACAACACCAAATTATCCTGGCGACGTACCCAGGCCTTGCACAATGCGGCGACGTACCAATCCAGGATTGCTACAACGGGGGCGATGACGTAACATGGACGCAGGTGATTTTGCGAGCAGCAATCGGCAGGCTCGCAGGCCCCCGATCAAGATATAAGGGCTGCGAGATAACACATCACCCCCGTTGGCTGTGCCATGCGCCCGTTGCGCCTAGCGTATCCCGCAGCAGCTCTCCAGAGCCCCCCAAGGGACGGCGAGGTCTCGCTCAGGTCCCCGCGGTGCTTCACTCCGCTGGACCCAGCAGCAGCCCTCGAAAGTGGCGACGGTGTCGCAGATCGCAGCCCCCCCCCAAAGGGACGGCGAGGTCTCGCTCTGGTCCCCGCGGTGCCTCACTCCGCTGGACCCAGCAGCAGCCGTCGAAAGTGGCGACGGTGTCGCAGATCGCAGCCCCCCCCCCCAAGGGACGGCGAGGTCTCGCTCAGGTCCCCGCGGTGCCTCACTCCGCTGGGCCCACCAGCAGCCCTCGAAAGTGGCGACGGTGTCGCAGATCGCAGCCCCCCCCCAAGGGACGGCGAGGTCTCGCTCAGGTCCCCGCGGTGCCTCACTCCGCTGGACCCACCAGCAGCCCCCTCGAAAGTGGCGACGGTGTCGCAGATCGCAGCCCCCCCAAGGGACGGCGAGGTCTCGCTCATGTCCCCGCGGTGCCTCAGTCCGCGGACCCACCAGCAGCCCTCGAAAGTGGCGACGGTGTCGCAGATCGCAGCCCCCCAGGGACGGCGAGGTCTCGCTCAGGTCCCCGCGGTGCCTCAGTCCGCTGGACCCACCAGCAGCCCTCGAAAGTGGCGACGGTGTCGCAGATCGCAGCCCCCCCCCAGGGACGGCGAGGTCTCGCTCAGGTCCCCGCGGTGCCTCAGTCCGCTGGACCCGCCAGCAGCCCTCGAAAGTGGCGACGGTGTCGCAGATCGCAGCCCCCCAAGGGACGGCGAGGTCTCGCTCAGGTCCCCGCGGTGCCTCACTCCGCTGGACCCAGCAGCAGCCCTCGAAAGTGGCGACAGTGTCGCAGATCGCAGCCCCCCAGGGACGGCGAGGTCTCGCTCAGGTCCCCGCGGTGCCTCAGTCCGCTGGACCCAACAGCAGCCCTCGAAAGTGGCGACGGTGTCGCAGATCGCAGCCCCCCCTTAGGGACGGCGAGGTTCTCGCTCAGGTCCCCGCGGTGCCTCACTCCGCTGGACCCAGCAGCAGCCCTCGAAAGTGGCGACAGTGTCGCAGATCGCAGCCCCCCTAGGGACTGCGAGGTCTCGCTCAGGTCCCCGCGGTGCTTCAGTCCGCTGGACCCAGGAGCAGCCCTCGAAAGTGGCGACGGTGCCGCAGATCGCAGCCCCCCTAGGGACTGCGAGGTCTCGCTCAGGTCCCCGCGGTGCCTCATTCCGCTGGACCCACGAGCAGCCTCGGAAGTGGCGACGGTGTCCCAGATCGAAGCCCCCTGCCCCAACGACGGCGAGGTCTCGCTCAGGTCCCTGCAGCGCCTCATTCCGCTGGACCCAGCAGCAGCCCTCGAAAGTGGCGACGGTGTCGCAGCCCCCCAGGGACGGCGAGGTTTCGCTCAGGTCCCCGCGGTGCCTCACCCCGCTGGACCCACCAGCTGCCCTCGAAAGTGGCGACAGTGTCGCAGATCGCAGCCCACCAGGGACGGCGAGTCTCGCTCAGGTCCCGCGGTGCCTCACTCCGCTGGACCCAGCAGCAGCCCTCGAAACTGGCGACAAATGCCACAGATCGCAGCCCCCCACAGGGACGGCGAGGCCTAGCTCAGGTCCCCGCGGTGCCTCGCTCCGCTGGACCCAGCAGCAAGCCCTCGAACGTGTGGCGACGGTGTCCCCCCCCCCCCACCCGCAAAGATCGCAGCCCCCCAAAGGGCCGGCGAGGTCTCGCTCAGGTCCCCGCGGTGCCTCACTCCGCCGGACCCACCAGCAGCCATCGAAAGTGGCGACGGTGTCGCAGATCGCAGCCCCCCCAAGGGACGGCGAGGTCTCGCTCATGTCCCCGCGGTGCCTCAGTCCGCTGGACCCAGCAGCAGCCCTCGAAAGTGGCGACGGTGTCGCAGATCGCAGCCCCCCCCAAGGGACGGCGAGGTCTCGCTCAGGTCCCCGCGGTGCCTC